AAATAGCTATAAAGATTCTAGCTAGTCTAAAGAAAATTCTTTAGAATTTTCCACCCACATTCTAAAGAAAACCATAAAGCATATTCCCACAGGATTTCTAAGAGTTAGCAGAACTGGCTCTTCCATCTAAACTTTCACTCCACCACACCCAAGCAGTCTATATTTGCAAAAGATTGAGAGTCAAGAAGAATCCACTGAAGCAGGTAATCATTGTTATATGACAGAGTTGTGGCCTTTACCCTCCATTGTAGAAAGAGTGCTTCAAACCCTCACCCAAGTGAACTGTGTGAAGGAGGTTCTAAGGGAATCAGTCATAGAGATTGAGGAGTGCCTATAAAGGCATGTTATTCTGTAAGTGGATATCTATTACACAGTAGACTTGATTACCTAGCCTACAGGCTTATGTTCTTGAAGGGAGAAACATGAATGGCACAAGGCAAGCAAAGAGAAGCAGCATTTGTAGTGGAAGGCTCCTTGTATTTGGCTTAACAAGGATGCTTTAGTCTGCTGTGGTCAAATGAACATTTGGAAGGTAGCCAGACATGAGCCATCCTGCTGGAATACTTCCTAAAATAACTTTAGGCAAGGGGAATGGACCTTAGCAGTAAGTAGCTGTGAGGCGTTTCATGGAAACAAAAGCTGAGTGTACATTAGAAGAGGTCATTTTGAAAATAAATGGGCAGTAGATAGGGCTCCTGCAGGCTCCCTGAGACAACCCATGAGAATGGCAGTGTTTAGGCACCTGCCACATCCAAAAGAGGATTCTAGTGGCACAGGTTACGTGGAAGAAATCTTAACTCCTCTTTGTTCAATATGCTTACCCTACCTAAACCTGGAGAAGCTGCAGTGAAAGAGCTGACGTATCCAACTCTGCAGTCCAAGTCCTAAGTCTAAGATCTGGCTTTAAGGTAGAAAGGAAAATAAATACTAAGCCAGGTTTGAGATTAAAAGTTTCAATTGGATTAAGTTGGACTAGACTGAATTGCAGTACTCATGCTTAAAATCATCCAAAAGAAATGGATCTGAGGTATGATAAAAGATAGAAAAATAATATTCATAGAACCTAACTGAAGGCAGCGGCTAAAGACAAAGCTGGTTTTGTACCCCCTTAGAGTTAATTAAGGCTGTTCAATAAACAGTGTTTTATGAGGACATGATTCCAAGCTGGATAAGAAAGGAAGTGAAGACAAGGAGGGACTGATGGATGGAAGAACATAGAAGATTCACTACATTGGTGTCATGATGAAGCTGAGGAACAGCTGCAGTGGGGTACTTGAGCAGATGAGCTGGAAGCCCCAGAAGAGCTCAGCGTCTAAATTAGTGATTTCAAAGTTGTGCCAGTTTGTAATGAATTCAAGTCCAAGTTAAGATCTTAGAGTTACTGAGTAGCTGAGGCTGAGTTATTAAAAAAAAAAAAAGATTAGTTGTTGAAACAAGAAGGTCAAATATTGAGGACGCTGAATTTGTCATCCAATATGGATGCTGAAGTGTCCCCAGAAGACGGCAGATATGAGGATGGAGAAAAGCACTGAGAGCCACGTACTAAAGCCGCTACTGGAGGCTTTACTCTGGAGGGCAATGTACCCCATGAAAATCAGCTACTACTTTGCAAAGTAAATAGGTTACAATGATGTGAAGTTAGCGGTGAGCCTCCAATGATAAAGGCTTTTTGTAGGAGGAGGAAGACTTATTGGTCTGGAAACAGCACTGAGAAGTGAGGAGGACATGTCCCCACCTACCAACTTTGGGAGGCATAAAAAGTCTCTACAGTATTTTCAGAGTCAATCCAAGAGGTGCTGGGATTGTTCACTGTAGAGGCTGAGGATTTGGAGATGTTTGATAATAATGGAATAGGAATTCTAGGTGGTCCAATGGGAAAGTTGGTGAGAGAGGAGGAATAGGAAATTGGCAGAGTCAAGATCTGCAGGGAAATCTGTATGCCACCTGAAGAATGTTGAGCAGGAGACATTGTTGAGTCAGGCTTGCATTTTAGATAAATCACCCTGACAGCTGTGTAGAAGACATTTTTTAAGGGGATTCAAGGCTATGGGAAGGGAGACCATTCAAGAAACTATGAATTATAGTCATGACAAGAAATCTCAAGGGTTTGAAACTGAGTAGTAATGAGATGATTAAGATATGTAGGAGCTCAACCAGCTAGACTTAATTGGATGTGAGAAGTGAAAGAAGGATGTTTCCAAGGGCTCTCAAATTTCTAGCCTGAGTAACTTGGTGGTTGGTGGGGACAATGGAGGAAAATTATATTTATGGAGACAGATGTTCAGATCTGGACATCGCATGAAAGACTAAAGCCTTGAGTTTACCTCCACTTGTCATTTCCCCTCTTACATAGCAACAGAGTAGCTGATTTTCAGGGAGCACATGGCCATCCAGAATAAAGATAACATTTCCCATTTCCTTTATGGCTAAATGTAGCCAAATGATTAAGTTAAGGCGAATGGTATGTGATATAAATTGTGTTTGCAACTTCCAGGAGGTGTCTTTAAAAGATAAAGCATTTTCTTCACCTCTTTCTCCTTCCTGCCGGGGAATATGGATATAACAGCTACAGCTCTATTAACCACCTTGGACCATAAGCCTAACTTGGCCATGGAAATCACAGAAAGCAGAGCAGCAAGATAGAAAGAGCCCGGTTCCTTGACTTCACAAACATGAGAAATAAAGACATTTCTACTTCTTTAAGCCACTATAATTTTGTAGCTTTCTGTTACTCACAGCTGAACTTAATCCTAATAAATACCAGATGTGTTAAGTTTGAGGTGTCTGTGGAACTCAATGAGGGGTAGGCAGTACAGCTGAATATACTGATATAGAACTAGGCAAGAGATCAGGGTTAGAGACAGGAAACACAGGTTATTCTCTAAAAGCTAGTCCATATGATTTTTTTTCCCAATAGCCTTCGGCAGCCTGATCTAAGAGCGGAAAAGCTAATAAATGTTTACATAGATAGATATTCAGATCTAAATCCATTTTCTCACTACATGTGTAAGATAACTTAAGGATCAATATTACTTTGTATTTAAAATATTGCCTTGGAAAATAAAAGTCACTGCAGCAATTTTGTATACAACTAGCTAGTGTTGATGAGGCAGACCACATGAGGACAGTATAATCACAAACGCCTTTTTGTTAGGGAGAAATGATGATTAAAACCAAATGAGGAAGAATTGTACGTGCCAAATGCAGTGCAATAGATATAATGAATAACAAATATTTAGGGACAATTATATTGACCTTTTTTGCACAAAAAATAAAATGTAAGCTTGAGCAACTGCCCAGGCAGCAAAATTCTGTATAGACTCAAAAATGGGTGCTCATGTACTTAAGAAAATATATGTGCAAATTTCTGTTACACTTGCTAAGTCATTGTACAATAGTCTATAAAACACTCAGAAATTAGGATCCATATAAATGCTATTTGTAAATTTTGAAATCATTCCCACTGTAGACTTCATTAGAAGCTACAACTTCACATTTATTTCAGGTTGAAATAAATTTCTGAAAAATAAAAGCCCTAGTTCCAAATATACATTACACACAAGGAATTTCTTATAATGCTTCCAAATGGAAAAGGCTAGAAAAAGTGTTTCAAGTTGTTCTGTATTCTTCTCAAAAAAAGTTTGGATAAATAAACCAGCACCTATGTGTTAGATTTCTTGTAGTTTTTCCGTGAGTTTTTAAAGACAGACTATCTGTCCTCTTCTCCCCATTGTTTAATCTGTATGTGCTCAATCAAGGATTATAAAAATAATTTTAACACAGAATCCAGCAAACACAATTAAGAAGTAAATATACTATGAAAATGAACATCACAACAAGCATCTCACCTAGTTATTAATTTTGTGCTTAGTCCCTGGTTTGGATTGCCTCAGCCCCGAGTTCTCAGAACAGAATAGAAAGTGGTTAATCAGTGCATTGCCAATATGAAGAATCAAACCCACATCTAGCCAATGAGAGAAAGTACAATTTCTTTATGCCTTGAATCCACGTGGCCCTGGGACTCCATGGGGTCAGCGGCTGAGGACCCACCCATCCTCAGGCTCTTGATACACATGTTCTTCATCAAGGAGCGTCAGAATCCCCAGTGAATCAGAAACTAATCAAAATAAATTGATAGAACTTGGAAGTTTGAAAACTGCTCAGAGAGTAAGATGGGAGTGGGGGAGGCCATCTAGTGATAAACTAGATTAAGAATCACAAGGCCCAGAGTCTTAATCTTGTTCTGATATTAATTAGCAGTCTGTTTCTTCCCAGCAAAGCAAAAGAACTGGGTTGAACTAGGATAGTCTTGGTAGTACCTTTTAGCTTTAAAAGTGCACGTGTTGGGAATTACAAGTGAATGCTATTGAGTTTAGCAACCTGCTTGATGCCTCCTAAATGTAATGCATTCATGTATCATCTGTTCGTTTTGATCCTCATCTCCAGCAGGTATTTAATTCAGATGTTTTGCTCTGTGGAAAACTTCCTATCACTACTCCTCTCTCTTCAATTGATATTGGTTCTTTCAAACCGACATTTACATTGTTTTTCTTGATATTTAGAATGGTTTTATTGCATTTGTAAGCGGAAAAGGAAGGCATCGCTAAATGTAAAATTTTCCCTTAAGGAATTTTCCTTCTAGCAATTAAACACGCTTTTGGGTTAAGTATGGTATAGAAAAGTGATTAAATGCATATGAAATCATGTGGGTTATTAGAGATTATTTGGTTGTTTGGCGTCTCCTTGGATACGTAGTTGTTTTTCCACCAACCCACACATCCTCTATATTCCTCATAAAGCCTTTGGAATCTGTTGGGCTTTTTAAGGCTCTCACCACTCTCTTTCTATGACTTCACCGTATCATTAAAAATCTAAAGTTATTTAGCATAATTTAATAGTATTAGCAAGATTTGTAACCGTATCCAAGGATATGAACTTGTTTGTTGTAACAACCACTTGAGGCAGTCCAAAAGGCCCTTCAAAGAAAGAAACATGCCATGTCAAATTTTCAGTAGTTTTATTGAAAAATGCCTCTTTTGTTTCAGAAATAAATAATATAAGGCAGTGAAATTCACAATCTGCAGTTAAAATATAAAAGCAGCAATTCTATATTCATAGTCTTGCAAACGTTTTCCAACTGCTTTTGATAACTAAGAAATATTATATTCTGAAAAAAGTTCATACTAAATATACAACACAAACATGCAATTCCATCTCTGCAGAATAATCTGCAATTGGGCATAAATGTTAGTGTGTCTAAAACAAGGAGGTTTAAGGCAATATGGAACTGTATCCCGTTGATGCACTAACTTCATCTACATGGCTTAAGGTTGGTGGTTGTTAAAGAGATGTATACGAGCATTCTATGCCCCGGTGTATAACAGAGATAGAAGAGGAAGATAAATAATTGCAATGGAGTTGACGTTTCCCTCCTTTTTGGTTTTAGGAGGGGAATTATTTGAATAGTGGTGTAATTGAATTGCAGATAAGTATAGCAAAAGATAAACTGCCCGCTCGAAATACTCAGTAGCTCTGGGTTCCAGAACTTACTGCTTTACCTAAGAGTTTCACTGAGGCTGCCCGCTGTGCTAACTAAAGGCACACGGCATGTTCTGTCTTTGCAGCTTTTGTGAACAAAGTGTTTTGCAAGCATTTCAAGGGCAAAGGCAAAAATGTCTACAGACTGCGTGCTTGGAGCTAGGCTTCCTGCAGAAACAAGGTTCTCTACAATCAGAAAGGGTACTCCAGGATGACCAACGCTGGAAGAAACATCGCAGAAAAGACGTACACTGCCCTATCTGACCTGTAAATGAGAATTTCAACACCTCCCCCCAGCCTCGCGGCGCGGCGCGTGGTCTCTGGTTCACTGCCCGGGTCCGTGGGACAGGGCGCGCCGCCAGCGCCCGCGGGGCTCAGGAGTCTCTTCTGCAGGCTCGTCTGCGCCGTAGTCCTCATATTCCGCCGTCCGCTCGGGCTCCACCGGCACGATGAAGGGCTCGCGCTCAGGCAGGTAGGCCCCGCCCTCGGGCACATAAGGCTCTGTCCGATTCAACATTACAGTTATGGCATGATTTGGAAGGCACATACACACAGCAAAAGCTAAATCATCACCCGCGGTGATGGCACTCCAGTCTTAATCTCATAACTATAAATAAGTTACAATGTCCCAATTACTTCCAGAGAATTTGGTGATAATCAAATAATGAAATGGCACTGTCTTAAAAAAAAAAAACAACCTTCAAAAATCCAGCAGTAAATACAATCATTGCACAAATACCTGGGAAGGGTCAGAGACTGGACCAAAAAAACTGTAAACGCAGTACCTAAGTAGGATTTTCACAAATCCCCAAGTAACTGTTCATGCCTTCAAACTCCTCAATTCAAAGAACAACTTGGAAAGATGAGGAGGTGAGGGAAAGTTTTATTGGCTCCTAGAAACTGAACTCGGGGGGGTGAAAAGCAACTATCACCAGGTAATATACAGTACATGACATCTTCTGTGGCTGTACCTCACACTAACTGAGTTACAGCTGGTGGGTGAGGAACACCAGTGACTACAGCAAAACAGGAAGAAAAGGTGATTTTAAACTTTGGTTTGAAAACTGCAGTTACAAAACCCAAATGAGAGGACACGGACAAAAAAGTAACAGAGCCAGATGCCCTGAATCAGACACATCGCTAACAAGCAAGAGATAAGGAGATTCCATTTGGTGTTATTCCGGCATAGAGCAAGCGGCAGGCTTTGATGCAGAAGCTTATTGTAGAATTGTTAAGTGATTTTAGTCGACAGGATCACATACAAACCATTTACAAGCCACAATTAGTTTATTATTTACATAAGACATTTCTCTTTAACCAGGTTAATTGTTTTTCTTAAAATGGCATAGTCTCCTCTGGTTAGTAGTTTTATTATGCACCTCTTTCACAACTGAGGCTCCTCATGGCTGTGTGTTGGAACTTTTTTAAAATAATGTTTTTCTACATTATTACTGAAATGCATCAGGCTTATAAACTGACATCACTGCTTTTGTCTCATTCAAGTTAGTAAAAAGAGTCTCCACCCTCCTTTGTGATGTCGACCCGGTTCGTTAACCATTATCTGTGGTGAGATTTCCATACAGACTCATTTCCTAATAAGCACGTGCGCAAACATCTCAGAAACAGGATTTTCATGTATTCAAACTGTAAGCAGCACTGGCGACTTAGAAAATGTGTTAGCCGGAACCTGAAACAGGTCAAAGATGATAGTTTTTAAAAGTTGAATGACTAAGTAAAAAATATAAATACACATCCATCTACGTATGTAATGGTTAAAGTATATATATATATCCATATATTTTTAGTTATTCTCACATCCCATAAGGAGGTGGTAATTTAAATTTATTTTATAAAGAATTAAATTGCAATTCTGTGAATGGGTTGCATGAAATATACATTAAGATTTGTTATTACTTTTGGTCATATGTAATTATGCATTTAAATATATAGATATATAGATATTTAGATATTTAGATATTCAACTACTCATGCACTATTTGAAAGTAGCAAATCATATCAAACAGCAGTATCATTTTTAAAATTTGCAAGATGCTTGAGGGTGCACTAATGAAATGGTAGCCATCGACCACAGCATGACTATCTTATTTCCAGATTGGCGTATCTCCCCAGTCCTCACATCCCACAAAATCAGGTATAGGAGACTTCTGCCCTCTACAATTGTCAAACACTAGAATTTCATTAACAATCTTTTAAAACAAGTATTAAGTCCCATATTTTATAAGTATTAATTCTATGGCTAGCATGGGACAGTTAACTATGTTCAGTCGTCTACACCATATTATCACATAGTTTGCCTATAGATTTCCAAAACAATTTTTAAATACATATTCTTGGCATTTTACAGTTGTGTTTAACAAATCCCTGTTCCCAATCTTTGGGAAAAGAAAAAAAAAAAAGTCAATTGAAGTTCCAAGAGAAATAAGGGGAGGTTTATGATGTGATTTGGTAAATGCAGAAATGGGGAAAAAAAGAAAATAATTCAATCCTAACAGTGAAATAATGTTGTATGCTATGGTAGCAAACACTCTTACTATATACAGTCAGAACTGAAAGAGTTGTTATCTTCAAGACATCTTCAAATCAACCTTCCTTCAAGCCTAAGGAACTTCATTTCCATAAAGTTCTTTACTTCAGGTGAATTGGAGTTCCTACAATGGCAACAACATACCTGGATAGCCTTGCCCATTGTATGGGATGCTGGCGCACTGAGACGAATCACAGTATCCAGGAGGACCCGGGGGTCCTCGGATACCTGAGTTTCCAGGACGGCCAGGGGGGCCAGGGGGACCTCTTGAACCTGTGGACCCTGGTGGACCTGTTCTGGATTCTCCTTGTGGACCTAGTGTGGAGTTAAAACAAATGTATTTCCCCTCTTGTCAAATACAACTCCTGAGGTAGCAACCAGTACTTTAAGTGGCACCTCTACTACCTCAAGATTAGACAATTTACTATTGTATGGTAAGAAAATGTTTCCTTAAGAAATACCCAATATGAACCAAGGTGTGATGGAACTTTCTTACCAATGACTCATCAGAGTTAATGCCAAAAATCTACTACTTTAAGTATTTTATCACAGAAAATCTGTTTTAATAAGAATTCAGCCAAACCAGAGATATCAGTGAGTTCTTTAGTTTGCTCCCACCCTCACAGAGAAAAGAGCACCTGAAGGAAACAGCTCTGTTAGGCAGCCACATTGAGCTGCCATCAAAAGAGGGCAGTGTCTGCTCCACACCTCCAGACTATGTGAAGCAATGTTGTTTCTGGATCAATACAGTTAACATAAATGGAATGATTTAGCCACAGGGCTGTCCTTGGTTGCAAGGGTATCATGTGCCTTATAATGAAAAAAGAAATCATTTACAACCTAGTAAACAAAATGCATCAGACAACCAGTATTCCTTTCCAAAATATAAAAATGCTTTGGGAGAACAGTGAATGAAATTTACCAATATCTCAGGCCTTTTAGTGAGGCTATGTTTTCTCAGTCTAATAGCCCCATATTGAAGACTACTGGAAAAAACAGGAAATATAACCATCTTTAAAGGCTATGAGGTCAAACAAAATAGGAAAAGAAAAGGAAGGAAGGAAGGAAGGAAGGAAGGAAGGAAGGAAGGAAGGAAGGAAGGAAGGAAGGAAGGAAGGAAGGGAGGGAGGGAGGGAGGGAGGGAGGGAGGGAGGGAGGGAAGGAAGGGAAGGAGGGAAGGAGGGAGGGAAGGAGAGAGAGGCAATAGCAACCCTTTGTGTCACTAAAATTCATTTCATCATATATTAATGTTATAGTTAATGCCTAATATAACCTTTTCATTTCTTTAACAAAGGGAACATGAAAATGAAGTTATGGAGGTTGAACTTCTTGCTAAAACATATGCCATGGTAATAAGAATGCTTGAAGCTCTAGTAACAGGATGAAGTTGGCCAGGAGTGGTGGCTCATGCCTGTAATCCCAGCACTTTGGGAGGCTGAGGCGGGCAGATCACGAGGTCGGGAGATCAAGACCATCCTGGCTAACACTCTACCAAAAATACAAAAAATTTAGCGGGCTTGGTGGTGGGCACCTCTAGTATCAGCTACTCGGGAGGCTGAGGCAGGAGAATAGTGTGAACCCAGGAGGCAGAGCTTGCAGTAAGCCGAGATCAAGTCACTGCACTCCAGCCTGGGCAACAGAGCAAGACTCCGTTTCAAAAAAAAAAAAAGAATAACAGGATGAAGTTGTGAATCTCTTCGGGACGGTGTGCCCTCTCAGTGTTGATACTCTTTGCCTGTTTAACGTACTAGCAAACCTACCTGGGGGTCCAGGCAGCCCCCGAGGTCCTGGAGATCCAGTACCCCTTTCACCTTTCTCTCCTGGCAAACCTAAGGAAGGAGAGAAAGAGAAAGCACAGGGGAGAAATTATCTGGAAACATGTAATTTTCATCTTAACTGATAATATTTGATTCAAGTAATTCATTTCCTTAGTGGAAGCAGAACCTAATTTTTCACAGAAGTTCACTCTTTAAGCCAAGTTCTTTCTAGACATTTGTGTAATTCTAGATTCATGGCTGAGAAAAAATTTGGCTACAAAGCAGGGGAAAAATTATTTAAAGTAAAAAAACATGTCTAATGTATTTTTAAATAGTAACTAGGAACAATCATCCTGAAGAAATAGTTATAATATCTCATTGAAAAACATATTAAAGGTATTTTGTCTTTAGTAGCCCTATTAGCACAGCAGCCAAACCAGCAGAATTATAGAAACACGTAGGTTTTCTCTAGAATATTAAGTACTCCTTTGACAAAAGTGGGTACCCAGAGTCCTGAAATATCTGGAATCAAATAGTCCTATTTTTCTGCTTTTCCTTCATCTGCACTTATCTACACCATGAAATTAGAGTCAAACAAACATACAAGACCAATGCCAGACCCTGAATAAAGGAACCAAAATAAGTTAGATCTAAAACTCTAGGGCTGCCTAAGAACATTCAGTTGCTGCTCGACTCTTGCCATGGTCACAGAGAGTAATAAGATTTGGGTAGCTGATTTAGTTTGCCAAGATAGAGGTTTTCCCCTTAACAACAACAAAAGTCAGAAAATAGCATTATCTGAGATCTGATAGCATTAACTGAGATCTGATAAAGACATGCCATTTTTCTAAGACATGGATCCCTATGGCCTGTGAGTTGCCTGACAGCTCTTCGGAAGCTGTCCAAACAAGACTAGTGAAAGTAGTTTGCCTAGGTCACCTTCCAGACACCCTCAACCTGTCCCAGCTCCTACGTTTGCAAATTCCTTCCTTTATCGCAATACAGAAGCCAGAAATGCCTACCTCGTTCCCCAGGGGGTCCCTGCATCCCTGGTGTGCCCGGGAAGCCTGGCCGCCCCCCAGGTCCAGGTTCTCCTCTGGCTCCTGCGCTGCCAGGAGGTCCCGGTGGACCCGGCGGGCCTGGCTGGTTGCGACTGGAGTGGTAATCATTTGGAATCTGATTCAGCATCTGATTGAATCTGTTCATCTGACCTACAAGCAGAAATAAGGCTTGTTAGTAAGAAATGCAATAAAGGAGGGATGAGACAGTGAAACTGTTTTAGTGTCTAGTGAAATCCATCTCCATTCTGCACCCCTTCCAGGAAACAATCTAATTAGAATCCTAAAAATAAAATTAAGACAGTCTAATCATCCAGGACAAAATAGTCCCTGATAAATTATTGTTTCCACAAAATGCTGACCTATAAGCCACAAACACTACTACAAATATAAAAAGTTGTTAAAGTTTAATATGGCTCTGAAATAAAGTCTTGAGGTTTGCCAGGTGACATCACTCAAAAGAAAACCTTTTTTATAATTAGATAATTCTACAATTGTCTGTATATCTAAGGCAATGATAATCAGGTTTCAGTGCAAACTGGAATTGCCTGTGGGGCAACTTGAAAAATCTGGATTTCTGGGCCTTATCTCCAAAGACAATGATTCACTTAGCTTAGGACATGGTGCAGGAACTCTCACTTCTAACAAGCAACATAGGTGATTCCAAGGCAGGTGTTCCTCAGTACCACACAATGAAAAACATTGATTAAGCCTTCTCAAAGAGCGAGTTCTGGATTTAAGGCCCACACCAGTCTGCAGGTACTGAGCTTCATTACTGAACAGGCCTTATAGAATAAGAAGAGCCTGTGAAAAACAGAGAGGCCAGAGTTTCCTACCAAAAACAACTTTCACTGATCAAATTAATCTTCGTGAGCCCCTTCCTTAAGGTCATAAAACGACTTAAAGGTCATAACTTAAAATATCCAATGTCTTAGAACTTAAGTTTGCTGCTATTATTGTACCTTGGGTTATTATTTTATCTTAGTGACAATCTTTAAAATATCACCTTTAAGCAGATGCAAAACTGACAATGTATAAAAACAAGAGCTTATCAAAATGAAAGAGAAATCTATCTCTTTAGAAACTTTATGACCCAAACTCTGCATTTTCTGCAATTAATTTTCAAACAATTCACACAGTAAAAAGAAAAGAAACATTACCACTTATCAATTGTTCACAGACTTGTCTTGCAACTGCTCGCATCATGTTCTGGGAAGCAATGTCTCCCTTGTTAAATTAATGAGAATGATTAGCATATTAGTTCTATAATTTTAGACTTCAATGTTTAACACACAAACGTAAGATTTTTAAAAAAAATACATACCCTATCACCTTTTTCTCCTTTCAACCCAGATGGACCCTGAAAAATATGAATTGCATACATTAGAAACTGACAAACATACTCTAAAATGATGCATGAATGCACATAATGATGAAAGAGAACAAGTTCTGTTTTCTAAAGCATTAGCAAAATGACACATCACATTTATATCCATGTTACTCACATTCTGCTTTTCTATAAAAAGGAATCTAATCTCTCTCTCTCTGTCTCTGAAGCACCTCCAAAACAGTGGACAGATGTGAATTTTGTGGTCACAATTGTAAAAGTTATGGACCATGCACACTTTTTACAATGCAATTCACGATACATATGGAACTAAAATACATATGAAGATTGCCCTTGTGTTGCCATACTTTGCTTTGTATCATCATGGTTGGTTATCTCAGCTGGTTATTGTGGAACGTCCATGAGATTAGTCTCCATTCAGTCTCACTAAGAACCAGCAGGCTTTTGTGAGCTACTTAGCTCAATATATATCCCTTAACTTCATCGAGTGATTCTTTGTACATTTGAGATGAAAGAAACTGGATTGAAGCTGGAAACCATCATTCTCAGCAAACTATCACAAGAACAGAAAACCAAACACTGCATGTTCTCACTCATAAGTGGGAGCTGAACAATGAGAACACATGGACACAGGGAGGGGAACATCCCACACCAGGGCCTGTCAGGGAATCAGGGGTTACGGGAGGGATAACATTAGGAGACATACCTATTGTAGGTGATGGGTTGATGGCTGCAGCAAACCACCATGGCACATGTATACCTATGTAACAAACCTGCACATTCTGCACATGTACCCCAGAACTTAAAGTATAATAACAAAAAAATTCTACAATAAAAAAGAAAAGAAACTGGGTTTCTCTCTTAATGAATAACTCAATCTAAATGATCCTACATCTAAATACAAGCATAGAATATTTGGCCCTACACTGTCATAAGCCTCTCACCATAAGAGATATTGGAAAAGTTTTCCTTAGAATACAGCAAGTTTTTGTCTTTCGGTAATATATTTCCAGGCTGCCAACTGATATCACCGAAGGAACATCTAAATCATTGACAAATCAGGTTATATCCCATACCAAACCACTTCTCACCGTCTCCATGGAAACCACCGCAGTCCAAACCAAGACTCTTGCCTGAAACTACTCCAATAGCCTCCTAACTGCTCTCCCTGCTCCCCATTTTGCTACTTTATAGTCTATTCTCCACACAAAAACCAGAATGATATTTTTTAAAGAAAAATTAGATCATATCACTCCTTTGACTCTAAGAGCCTTCCATCCCATTCCCATCACACTTAGAGGAAAATAATAATTCCTTATCATGGGCTACATGGTCCACATGATCATCTATGCCTAGCTATCTGACCTGATATTGTATCCCTCTCCATTTAACCCCCTTCACTTTGGTACCCAGACCTGTTAGATGTTCCTTTCATATGTCAGACCCATTCCTCAGCCAGGGCTTTCATTCATGCTGTTTCCTCTGGCTGAAACCCTCTTTCCATAGATCAAATAGCTTTCTCCCTCATTTCATCTCAATGTCACCTCGTCAGAGAGGTTCCTGGATGACTGTATCCAAAATAGCTGCCTTCCCACCAGCACAATCATTCTCTAACCCTTTACTCTGTTTCTTGCTTCTTCATGATACTTATTATCATGGGAACCTATATTTACATGGTTTTGTCTATATCCGCCCCCCCTCAGAATGTCTATGAAGGCAAGAACTTTGTCTTGTTTGCTGTTATATCACCTGACCCTAGAACACTGGCTAGCATATTATAGGCACTAAACCAATACGTGTTTATTAATGAAGTATTCTATGAACACCTCATGGAAACATCTCCTATAGAATATCAAGTATTATAAGTTAGCAAGAAGATATCAACTGATTATAATAGCTAATGACATAAGCTAACAATGATTAAGCCAAGCTCTCTGCTAAGACCTATATATACCTATCTGCTATGTTTGGTTTCATAAATAAGAGGAAGGTAAGATAAAATAGAGAAGAAAAAGAGAGGAAATTTGCTACTTTTGAAGGACGAGGAAAATGAAGGAGAAAAGGGAAAGTGCTGGGATCTAAATAAATGTATACCAAATTATAATTATCATAAGAAAAATTGGAGTTGTCTATTTCCTTGCCAAAAGTATTAGATTTTTGTGGAAACACTAATATTATTGTATTTGGAGCATTTTTCAAGTGCAGGATTTTTTACATTTACTGCTATTTTGAGGTTGTTCTGATGTGATTTTTAATTTATTGGCACCCTGAGATTGTCCTATTGTTCACGATTTGTAGACATCATCTTTATTTCCAATATTTAGAGATCATATTTCAAGTAATAGCTGTAGACATTTCTTTTAGGCGTCTAGCTACAGCCATCAATTATATGAGTAATATTCTTATATAAGACACTATTGAGGTCATAGTAAAACAAAATGAAATGCTGAATGGGTAGAAAAGTTTCATATACTTACAATTGCTCTTGCAAAGTTTCTACCATGATCCATTGAGGAAAAGAGAGTAATAAAGTCACATGCTAGAGTACACACAGATTTTAAAGTATTTAGGTTGGTGCAAACGTAATTGCGGTTTTTGTCATTCTTTTAAAACTAATATACCAGGAGTCCTTCTATCTTTATGTTGCTTGCTTAATTTTATGAACCATACAAGGCAAGCCCTATCACATAAATGTCCAATCCGAAGTCTGTCTGAAATTACTTTTTTTAAACTTGGGTTTGTGTAATTTGAACAATACTTTAAAAAGGAGAAATTCTGTCCAGAGAAAAGCCCTGATAAATTTTTGTCACTGCTAATAGTTGGACTTAATTGTCTTTAAGATAAATTTTTATATTTCAGGATGCTATTCAGACAAAACAATGCTTAAATAAATTCACACTTCATAAACACAAAAAAGGAAAAGTTCATAAAAAATATGCAGCCCAACAGTCATTACAAATAATCGTGGATATTTTAGACACTTCAAATTCAGTTTTGGAGATACTAATTTGGAAATACCAAATATGTGTACTACTATCTCAACTACTATTTTAACCAAAATATCTGCATAAGAGAAAGTTAAATGGGGTATAAACTGGGGCAGGACAGTATTTAAAAAGTAAAATGATCAATTAAAGTTAATAAATAACTTTAATTCTGGTTCTGATGTTCTAGCCTCCTCAATTAGATAGAAAAGAACAAATGGAAAGCTGGATAATGCCACAAAAGGGTTAATATTAGCAAGCTAGGGATGGAGGCGCTGTACACCATCATCATGTATTTTTCCATCTTAAGCAGCATACCACTCCTAAGTAAAAAGAATCATTTTGCTGACCCAGCTCTGAGTGTTTATACAGTGCAGAAATATGTGTCTTGGCTCATAATCCCATTCTCCTTTTAAAGAAACCCAGTGACCACAATTTTCATCCCAGAATATTATAACAACCCAGAGAGAAAAATTTAGAACTGGTACCAAGTCAAATCCATGAGTTTAGCATGGTTTCAACAAATGCTTCAAACACATTACAGCAGAGATAACCTAAATATGACAAAGGCTTGCAGTTCTCATTATTTATTTACACAGTGAAATGACTGTCAGTATACATGCAAGCTGTCCACTTACTGGTCTGCCATGATCTCCAGGTTTTCCTGGCTTCCCACTTGGTCCTGTGACTCCCGGGGAGCCTGGGCTTCCCTACAACACATGGAGAGGGAAGGGGACTGTTATGACAAAGAGAAAATCCCATCTAAAGAAAATGAATACAGCTTGTTTTAAAAGCGTTTAAATGAAACAACTCATAATTACACATTCAGGAAGAATAAAACCAAATTTTAAGATAACATGAAATAAAAAACTCTTGACAATTACAGTGCAATCCTTATGGATTATATAGTTTTAAAATATATTTTGAGACCAGTTGAAAAATACATGCATACGTATACAATCAGTTTCACAATTTAAGACTGTGATCCTAGTAAATTGGTTACAAAGTGGATTTGCAGAAAGCAATTCCCTTTTTTTTAAAGTTTCCTACTACAAGACCAGACAATCCTTCAAAACACAGAAGTTGAAAATTTGGGCTGGAGAAGAATTAAGAAGGTGGCCAGTTTTGTGCTAAGTTGGGCACCATGGCGGTAGAGTCTTCCCTTGTCTGCTGAGAATTGCACTCTCAGCTTAGAAATTCATTTTTCCCTTTGGAGCATTCTCCACACTTTCATTCCCTTCCATCATGTCAGCACCCTTAACCCCACCAAAATCATAAGATTTTCTCCCTGTTGCTTTTACCACAGCTTCCAGACATTTTGGTCCTATATTTAATAGAATATTTATAATATGTACTGGCCAATACGTCATGTTCTAAAGCCTAAAATTTTCTTAACATGGAATGTTCAGATTTTGTCAAGCAATCCTTTACTCCATTGATTACGCAAGTGTTAATCTCTACAGTAAACACTTAACATGAAAGTTTGCTGTGCATTTAAATCCCCCATTACCTAAAGATCTATATTTGAAACATAAATGATACAATTATTTTAACATATGCTCTTTAGTCTTCATATCCTGCCACACAGACATGGAGGCTATCCATCACCTCAAACAATTTTACTGGGATCTCACCTGGATGCAAGTATACAGATGGCAGTTTCAAAATCATTAAGTATTTTTCCCAATATCTTAAGTTGAAGACCTTTTTAGTTGTAGATAAAACTGACTTCCTCAGAACAACTGATGGCTGTTCAATAATAAATGTTCTTAAATTTTAAATGTTATAGCCACAGATTCTTAAAATTCTGTAACAGGAAATAACTGAACCACTGAGGTTATAAAACCCAACCACTCAATGTAGGGATGAAGAAACTGAGGCACCAACCAGCTAGTAGCTAGTTAGTTAGGGATTTTTTTTACTTTTTCTCAAGTGTAACTTGATTAAACAGAAAGATTCCATATTTTAACACATCTGTTTTCTCTAGCACATTTTGATATAGGTAAATAAAAACACATTTCCCTCAATGATATACTCCACAGCACAGATTGAATGTGCTTCAAAAGCAGGTTACCTGGCTCTTCTCTAGCAAAATGGAGTGAGAGGGTCGGGGTGAAGGGCACAAAACTGAAACACATTTAGTTCTTACCGGTGGCCCCGGTGGGCCCCTGGGTCCCATTGCACCGTCTTTTCCAGTGAAGCCCTATTGTAAAAATGAAAGTAATTACAGTTAGGGAGGTCATGAGCAAGTGAAAAGAAAAGATGCTAAACAAGTTGCTAAAGCTGAAGGCTGAAGAGAAGGATTTAGCCCAACGTGCTGTTTGGCAGGTGAGCTTTCAATATGAAGGCAAAAAGCAAAAGAAAAAAAAAAAGAAAGAAAAAAAATATTTTCAATTTAACTTATGCCTTTTACTGAATAATTAACTTCTATGCTCATTCACTTGTAGAGTTATAAATAAAACCATTTTAAGAGCCAAACTAATCTTCTCTCAGGAAGGCAGATTCCCTTCATGAAGATATTTTTTCTTTTGTAATAGCATAAAGAAGTCTAAAGGAAGATTTATACATTCTATGGAAAAATCAATGTCCACAGGTTGGCCCAGGAATGATGCAGGTGAGAGGAAAGGAAAGTTGCTGAGAAAAGCAAGTGGTATCATAAAAGATGATATTATGGTGGCAGAGTCTTCCTTTGTCTGCTGGGAATTGGACTCTCAACTTAGAAATTCATTTTTCCCTTTGGTGAATTCTCCACGCCTTCATTCTCTTCCATCATATCAGCACCCTTTACCCTCAACAAAACAGTAAGAAATCCTCCCTATTGCTTTTATCACAGCTTCCGGATATTTTAGCCATATATTTAATAGAATATTTATAATATATACTGGTCAATACATCATGTTCTAAAGCCTAAAATTTCCTTAAGATGGAATCATCAAACTTTATAAAACATTCCTTTACCAAATATGCAAATATTAAGCTCTGCAGTAAATATTTAACATGAATGTTTACTATACATTTAAACTCCCCCTTATCTAAGAATATATATTAAACATAAATAATAAAATTATTTTAACATATGCTCTCAAGCCTTCATGCCCTGCCATGCATACAGACATAGAGAAGTCTGTATGGAAAATCCTGATCACCCAATTAGAAAACTCCCTTCCTCATTCCCTGAGCAATTGTCAGACAGCTAGAGCAGGACTACTTATGTCTCCACTCCTGGTGAATTTCTTTCTTCCTCTCTCAAAAGAGGCAAAGCTAGACTGGGTACAATAGCTCATGCCTGCAATCGCAGCACTCTGGGAGGCCAAGGCAGGAGGATTACTTAAGCCCAGGAGTTGAAGACCAGCCTGAGCAACATAAGGAGACCCTGTCACTAAAAGAAAAGTGAAAGAAAAAAAAATAGCCAAGCATGGTGGCACACACCTGTGGCCCCAGCTACTTGGGAGGCTGAGGTGGAAGGATCACTTGAGCCCAAGAGGTCAGGGCTGCAGTGAGCCATGATCACCACTGCACTCCAGCCTGGGTGACAGAGTGGGACCCTGTTTCAAAAAAAAAAAAAAAAAAAAACAGAGGCAAAGCTGTCTTAACTGCCCTCCACTCAAAAGAGAGGAAATCCTCAATCCTGATAATAAGCAGTTAATTTTTGCAGTGGTCTGTCTCTCTTCATCACACACAAAGGCCAGAACTGCCTCAGCGTCAGTTCACTAGGCAGGAATAGAGCACATCTCCCCACAGGCTTGATCTCTGGCTCGTGCGCCCGCATTTATATGTTATTTTTTTCTCTCTCTGTACAGTGCCAAATGACTTTCGCCTGGAATGAGTCATCCTGCTACCCAGTTAGCATTCACTCTCAACAGCAGATCTCTGAAATCCAGCCGAGGATTTCTGAGTCAGGTCATTTTTTAGAGATGTTGCATTCCTCTGTCAGAGATTTTTGTCTCATTTTCTGCAGAGTGTGAAAGTAATCGTTTCATCCATATTCTTGGATTTTCACAAAAGTCAACAATTTGGATCTCTTCCCGAATTAAGTATCCACACTTTTTATTAGTGCATTGACTTTACAATAGAAGTTTAAATTATTCTTTTTACTTTGTTGGAAATATTCCACTTCCCCCCCAAAAAAAGACTTTTTTCAGAAACTTTTAGAGATAAGATTTCAGCTGTTTGCTGGAAGATCTAGGCCTGACTAACAAAAAACAGATCCTAACCCTATCTGATGTAACATCCGTATCACTTCTAACGGCCACTTAAGAAAAAAATTCCCTATAATATTACCTGGACAATTTGAATAAAATTTCTTCTACCCAAGTTTCTCCAACTATATAGGATGCTCTTTTTCATTTTTTATGGTATCATATTTCTAAATAATTAATCCCCCTTTAGTCAGTCTAAGAACTTTCTGATCAACCATTTCCTTTTAGAGGAAACATATTCCTAAATTGGACTGAAGAAGATTTATTGTGAAGTACTCAAAAACGCTACCCATTATGCCATCTGCAGAACTTCGTACCACAATTTCATTTTATTCTTCAATTTTGGTGCAAGCCGCAGCAGTTATTTCCACTTCTACCCATGTGAGGGTGGCTGAGAAGACGGATGACCATTTTCATAGATACACATGTACAGATACCTGTATATGTGGTTCTTTGGTTACTTTCTAATAGCCCCCAATACTGTGCCTCATTTCAAAAATCGTCTGTGCGGAAGACGATCTCTGTATCTTGTTTCTCCCTACTTGATCCTGCTAACAAATTCTTCATTCCTCACCACAACTCTTGGCCTTGATCTCTTGTGCTTCCTTCTCTTCACTTCCACTACTGAGTTCAAGTTTTGTTTTGTTTCAGCTGAGATTCCCATCTCTCTAACTTTCTAAAATTGTTGATGCCCCAACAGCTATGCACCCTCCTTTTTGCATTAGTGGTCGTTTACTAAGCAGTAGGGAGGTACACAGGCTGTGAAGGAAAAGGGAGAACAGTATCCTGAAAAGTTCTCTTGCCCTCATCCCAGGGTGGCCTCACCACAAAGCTGGACACAGACTAGAATTTGAGAACGGAAGAGCACAGTCCCTTCCAGTCCCTTACTTTTCAAGGATGCAGTGACGCTGCCTGATGGTGATGTCTGTCTGAGCGCCAGTCCAGAAAGGCAGTGCTGCTGGGAAGTATGCTAGGGACCCTGCCGTGTATCTGCATGAAGCCCACATTGGGGTGGATGTGATGGGCACAAAGTTTCAGTCATAGCAGCAGCAAGCAAGGCAGCCCATCGCCACTTCTCAACCGCAATATTCTGGGGTTTACTTTCTAATAAAGAAGACTGACTTGTCACTCTTGTACTGTCACTGTTGTCCTTTATTGTAAAATAAGAATTAAAAAAAAAAAACCTAACGTGCCAGTCTCAAAAGAGTCAGAAGATGTATATATCAGAACTACCTCCACATCCCATATCCCAGAAAATAGTTTTCTCTTTGACCTCTGTCGTATCTCTCCCCCAAACTCAAAAGGAGGCATGGGAACAAATAAAGTTCACTGGCATATCATCTACCATTTTGTATTATCTTAGGGCAAATCTTTGCTCCCTCTGAATGGCCTGCCTCTGCCCAGCGGTGTGTTGGAGGTGTTAAGGCTAATAGATCTATGTTTAGTGACAGCTGTTACAGTACTGGCTTCCTCAGATCCTGCTGCTAGTCATATATTTTAACTAGATTGATTAATCAAAATACAAACTACTCTCAGACTATTTTTGGAACCATAAGATGCTGAAAAGTCATTAGTTCCTTTGTTTTGCGAAACTCTTAAAATTTCTGGGTTCTTTTTATTAAAGCATTTGTGGTCTCCTGTGGAACCAAATGTTTCACATCATTGATGAATAGAGCATAGAGGTCATGTTCACCATGCTTCTCATTAACTTATCCTAGAGAAGACTGGGCTTCCTGTACTGCTTTCGTGCTAAGTCAAAACCAAACCTGAAAGCTGCTACCAATAGGAAAAGTTCCTACTAAATACCAGCTGTCTACCCCACCATCAAGGCCTAGAAGTGGTATCTGAGTTCTAAAGGTGTAGACAGGATGTCTTGAGTTTGTAGAAAGTGCTACGGGAGTCAAGGCTACCCTCATGGTTACAGAAAAGCTGCCTCATAACTAAGATTTTAATTTTAAGATTTAAAACAATTTGCTGAGATTCTTAAATCTCTTTTTAATCAGTTAAAACTCCTTTTCTGGACTTCTTTTTATGAATATGATACAGTAAGAAATTTTCTGAAAATTAAAATTTCAAAGACTCCCCTAGAGTCCCACCATTTTATTTCAAAGACCTTGAGATTGATCTGATGTTGGGTGGTCCACTGACATTAGCTTTGCAGCTTTCCACAAGATACATGATTCATTACCAGCCTTGCAAACTGGATTTTGAAGGGTTCTTAATTAATAGGCAACCATGTGACATCATTTCCAACATCATTATAGCCTGCCCAAGAAAACTTACTCTATCTCCTGGAGGTCCCATTGGTCCTGGTGGGCCAGGTAACCCTGGAGTTCCCTGCACAGAAGGAAACAAACAAGTGAAACATTATAATATACTTCCTGTGTGGGAGAGAATCCTTGCTCTTTTCCAAAATGTTTTTTTAATTCCAGAGACTCTGAAAAGAAACTGGAGAACAGAGTCAAGCACATTGCCAAGCATACAGGAGATGCTCAGTCAACGAGCAGATACCTGAATTGAACAGCACCAACTTGAAGGCTAAGACCAGGATATGAAATGGAAATGAGGTGAAACACATATCCAGGCTTCCGCTTTGCTACTTAACCTGGGTTCACCTTTTGAGGCACTACAAAGGGAAATTTTCAAATAACGCATGACAGGGGGAAGAAAAGGCAACTTAGAGACCAACTCACTGTTCGGCCTGGAAGTCCTGGCTCTCCAGCATCACCTTTCATCCCTTGGCGACCCTAGAGTGAGCAATGGGAAAACAGTTCTCAGGCATTTCACAGAGATTAAGTTAAAAAGGAAGACATGAGTCACTTACAAAATCTTCATCACTTCATAAATCCAGAATGAGCACAGAAGGGTATTTTTGAAAGGAGATGAATAAACCTTTTTTGAATTAGTGCTCATTTTTTAAACTACAAGTGCTGTGTTATAATTTCTACTTACAATGTTATGGGATAATTTTATATAATTATGGGATATTATACTTGCCATAAAAGAATACAGTTTAACATAGGCGATATCTACATTACTTATAAGAAAATGTTTAATGAAGTCAAATAAGTAGCAGTAATTTTTTCTACACAGTTTTATATTATTACATAGTCTATTTACATATCTAAAATAACAGTCATCATAGTGACTACTATCTTGGTGACTAACCTTGTTGAACTATCTGAGAAAACATTTGATTTGGCAAAATGTAGAAAAGATTCATTTAACTAAATGTTTATCCACCATTCTTATTTAATGCAGAAAGGCTTTATGCTTACTTGCTCTCCCGGAATAGAGAGTCCATTGGGTCCCTGAGGGCCTGGAGGACCCTGGGGGCCTGGAGGACCTATGTCTCCACGAGGACCAGGGGGCCCCTAAAATACACAAGAGAGAGACAACCACAAATAATGTAATACTTTTTCAGTGCTGACATTTAGTCAGACACTTGTCATCATAGCTCTAAGACATCAATCATATAATCTTTGTAAACATTTCAGAAATCTACATCTATGAATGTATTTATTAATGTAATTTCCTTCTTCCCTTTACTATTGAAAAGTGCAATAAATTCACAAAAGCACTTCCTTTCCATAAAAGTCCTATTAGAAATAGATTTTTTAAATAAAACACATTGCATATAAAACATTCATATATTAATTTTCATAGACTTATATGAGATTAAAAGCTCAAGTCTCACTGGATTTGATTTATTTTAAGCTAGTCCTCATTTCTCTTAGACTTCAGCTTATTTCTGGGACTAAAGGATATATAAATCAAGCAAGGAAAGAAAAGATGCCCATGGATGAGGTGCCCTGTGCTGGAGCTCTTTTGCGATCTGTCTAGGTGGAAAAGGCACAACCTTGGCGTCAGGCCTGGGTTAGCATTCTAATCTTGCCCTTTCCTAATGGGGTTATTTTATCATTAATTATATTATGACCAAAAACTACATATTGTCTTCATAAAATATTCCCCTGAGAAGCTTGAGTTGTCTTACAGAAAACCAGTGTGGAGCTGGCAGAAGGGGCAGGTGACCCCTTGTGAGCACTCAGCATTTTCTTTTCTGAGACTGGTGAAAAAAGAAGCAGCAGAACTACTCCCAGCAGGCTCCAGCTCTCTAGAGGGTCTCTGCTCCCTGTGGGGTGTGGTTACCCCATCTGCTTCCCCATGTTCCGGCCAAGCCCTTAAAGATCTTCTGCAGCTTCCCCATGTGTAATTGTTACACCTATGACATGCATCCTATGCATTTCTTTCTCTGGCTTGTCTAATCCATCATTATGATATCCAGAGATAAGACAGAGGTAATTACATTACCTGAGGCACACTAAACCTGAGCTGACTTGCTCAAGATCACATCCCCGCTTTGTGAAAATTTGAACAATCAGATTTCAGCATATAGATGAAAATTTAAATGCACTCTAAAATATACTTACAACTGCCCCACTGATACCTCTTTCACCTCTGGGACCTTTAGCACCAGGCCCTCCCTAAAATACATAGAGCACATATTAGTGTGAACATAGGAAAGCAGGAAGAAGTTGATACATAAAAAGTGCTTCAAGAAAAAGTGCAATCTCCAGATAATTAATATTCTACAGTTGCTTTCAAAATATTGAAGCAAATATTTCATGTCATACAAATATGCAAGGCAAGAGAATTTCAAAACTTTGTACATTCTGAGCATCTTATTTTTTAAATTATATTTCATATTTCAAGTTTTCATTTCAAAATCTGAGGTTTGCTGGGAAAAGCAAACATACTACTTGTATACAATAAAGAGAAAAATGAGCTTTGGATTTATATGAATTACATTCCTCAGGGAAAATGATGGGCAAAAAGAAGAATATCTTCACTCTCTCAGAATATTAGAACATGTACTTAACAGGAATTCAGAAACAACTGAACAAAGAGGAAATAAATATCATAGTGACATCCAAGCATGTTACCTCACAATGACAGGGGAAAAAATCCCAACATCTCAAAAACATCTAAGTCACATCCAGGATATAATTTCATGATTATAAATATAAATCACTGTTACTAGAAAAAAGAATGGTAATTCCAGTGACATTTTGATTCTATATATGAGGAGCTGCTTTGTAATTAACCTAAAATCAGTCTACATTATTTGCTAGGACCCAGGGATAGTAAGTTTTGGTGTTCTGTGAATCCCCGAGCTCTTCCTATGTTAATTACATATTTTCTTAAAAGAAGCCAATGGAGATTAGAGCTATCCTCAAAATTGGCCCAGATCAGATACTGGATTGACTAAATCAAGGGGTTTCACATTGATCAATGAACTCTATCACCGCAGTCTTCAATGTTTTGCCTTGCACTTTCTTGGCCTTCCCTCCCAACCAACGAATAAATCTGGTCACAGTCTTCTCACTCAAGTTATTCCAAACCCAGAGTTTATGATATCACATGTGTTAATTACCCTCTCTCTATGTAATTCTCATGATACATCTGCTACATAAGGTGCACATGTTCTAGGTTCTCAACAAGTTGTTCTTGAGTCAGCCTCTCAACTATGGCTTTGTACCAAACACTTAAGAAGCTTTCAGGAGACGTAAGGAATTTTCAGTCATGTAATTACAGGTGGAAATCCAGCTTCACATCTTTAAGAAAAAAGCTCCTGAAGACTAGCCAATATTATCATTCTTGCATGGCTGAAGAAATATGTCAAATGCCAGAATCAAATATTCTTCCTGATTTACTCCATTTCAGATGTCTAAATATACTAAAAAGATGGTCTGCAATTTAGCTTGCTCTATCCTAGAAAACCTGGATGAACTGAAGCATTTTATTGACTCTATACCAGCAAATAGATAATCACTCTAAAGATTTCAAAGGAAAAACCAGAGGAACTATTTCAATTTCCTTACTGCAGGGCCTGGAGGTCCTGGAGGTCCAACGCTGTCCTGTGTACATGTGCAAGAATTTGGAAAAGCAGGGCATTTTGCCTCATCTCTCTGCAATTTTGAAAAAAATATTTGCCTTTAAATTTAGAGGAAAAAAAATGCCTTCCCATCCCCACCCCCACTTACATGCACAAGGAAGTCTGTTTCCCAACTTAAAGAAATAATTTTACTTATCATTATGAATAGTCTTATATTGAAACTTGCTGTGCTCCTTTATGTCTTTATTTTAGGCATTAAATTAGGAAACCTCACTGACAAAGAAATGTTTACGTGACCACTGAGACCTCTGGTAATTTAATCCAATTTCCTCTAATCCGGTGTTAGAGACTTGTTGTGTATCTCAAATATCAATTCCCATTTGGAAAAAAAAAAAAATCCAGAATTCTGTCCTCTTTCTCCATTAGCCACATTGTTTTGTCCCTCACTTCATTCAGGTCTCTGCTTAAATCTCCCCTTATCACTGAGGGCTACCATCACTGTCTATCCCTTTGCCCTGATTTGTTATGCATCCTAGGACTTTCACTCAATAATATAGTATATATGTCATTGTTAATTCGTTCTCTTCCAGTGCCTTTCACTGGAATACTCACTTTTTACTGGCTTAAAACAAGCACACAGATTGGTGCCCAGCTTATAATAGGTGCTCAATCAATATTTGCTGAATAAACAATGCACACCCTTCCTGTGGATGTATGTGGGTCTTTGCTGGTCAAAAGTTTCAAATCCATCACCAACATTCAACATTGTAACCATTACCACCTACATAGATACTATTAAAGAAAGGCCATCATCTCGAAAAGAAATACTATGGTTATTTCTACCATCTAAAAAACCTTAGTTATCCAGAAAGGTGCTGGCTTGTTCTGTAAAATGCTGATAATTTACAAGCAATAAGAGGGCTTTACAGTAAGTGGGCTTATCAAACACATTAACTCAGCAGGACTTTTCTGTTAGGGAGAATTTCCAGATACAGTCTGTGCATTCCCAGCTTGTGAGGGAGGGTTCACACAGGCACTGGCTTTTCTGTAGTAGCTGGTGAGCACCCACACGTTGCGTGTCTTTTAGCTCCATCCTGAAGATGCAACTGTGGAGTGCTACTTCCTCTCCCAGGCACAAGGGTTCATTCCTGGGAAACTGTTAAAGCCATGACAGAATTCAATTCTGTTTTACTTACCCTAGAGGGAATATCACAGCATCTGTCTCTACTGGTCCACACTGGGCTGCAGACAATGTCAAAACTCTGGATTTGGAACTGCAAACAACCAACAGCAACATCAGCTAAAGATGCATGAAAAACATTTTATATTGGCATTTCCACATTGTAACCATTGCCAACTTCTCACACAGACTCTGTCAAGGGTGTGAGCCATTGAGAGCAATGTGATCCTTACATCATGAGGAAAGAACATAAAAACATATGCCTATGAGAAAGAGATAGAAAAGTGAAACATGTATGTAGATTCCCACTCCTGATTCACTACTTTAGCCAAAATGCAATGTTTGAACATATGCCTATGAGAAAGAGATAGAAAAGTGAAATGTGTATGTGAGATTCCCACTCTTGATTCATTTATTTGGCTGAAATGCAGTGTTTGAGTTTTGTGTCATTTGTTTGTTGTGTGCTTTTTTTTTTTTTTTTTTTTTTTTTGAGACAGAGTCCCACTCTATTACCCAGGCTGGAGTACAGTGGTGGGATCCTGGCTCACTGCAACATCTGCCTCCCAGGCTCAAATGCTTTTCGCGCCTCAGCCTCCTGAGTAGCTGGGATTACAGGTGTGCACCACCATGCCCAGCTAATTTTTTTGTATTTTTTAATAGAGGCGGGGTTTTACCATGTTGGCCAGGCTTGTCTTGAATTGCCAGACTCAAGTGATCCCCCCGAAGTGCTAGGACTACAGGCGTGAGCCACGGTGCCCAGTCTTGTGTTATTTTTTAAGAGAATATTAATTTCTATAATTAAATGAATTTCAAGCCTACACACATTTAAATCAAATTTGTTTTTTGTTTTTTGTTTTGTTTTGTTTTGAGGTGGAGTCTCACTGTTGCCCAGGTTGGAGTACAGTGGTGTGATCTTGGCTCACTGCAACCTCTGCCTCCTGGGTTCAAGAGATTCTCCTGCCTCAGCCTCCCAATTAGCTGGCATTACATATAGCTCCCACCACCACGCCTGGCTAATTTTTGTTTATTTAGTAGAGATGGGGTCTTACCATGTTGGCCAAGCTAGTCTCAAACTCCTGACCTCAAATGATCCACCCGCCTCGGCCTCCCAAAGTGCTGGGACTACAGGCATGAGCCACCACGCCCAGCCTAAATCAAGCTTTAAGAGCCCACCCTTATAGAAAAGTAACATTAAAGTAAATTAAAGAAACAATTCTTCACTTATTCTACAATTGATGCTCTTCTTTTTAGAAATTATTACCAAGGGGTTGACCAATAACTTTTTTGATATCCTCAACTATTTCAAGATAGCATATATCTTATATCTTTCTATAGTTGAAAAATAAACTACTTTTGATAAAAAGTAAAAAGTTGTTTAGACAATGTTGTTCTTTTAAAAACGTGATGTAATTGTTATACTTAAATGTCAGATTCAATATTCAACAGAAGGTTTGGATTTTAATCAAAATTATATTACATTTGAACTAATTGTTTCTATATTGTGGAATAAAAATTTTCCTTTTGAATCTAGAAGAAAATCCTGTCCATGAAAGAAAGCTAAATTAAATAAATAAAGCCATTTTAAAAATAATAATTATAGAAGCCAAACAGGTTAGCTTTGCTTTTAGGACAATAGGTCTATTGACTGACATTGATTGATTGATTGATTGATTGATTGATTGAGACAGGGTCTCGGTCTGTCACCCAGGCTGGAGTGTAGTGATGCCATCATAGTTCTCTGCAGCTGCAAATTCCTGGGCTCTAGCAATCTTCCCACCTCAGCCTCCCAAGTTGCTAGGAATACAGGCACATGCCACCACATTCAGCTGATTTTTTTTTCCTTTTTATAGAGACAGGGTCTCACTATGTTGCCTAGGCTAATCTTGAACTCCTGGCCTTAAGTGATTCTCCTTCCTTGGCCTCTGAAAATGCTGGGATTATAGGCATGAGCAATGCTGCCTGGCTTTGAATGACATTTAATATGAATTTAATTAGCTTGGTATGATGACAACTTTAGATTTAAATTTTCCCTACTAGATAGCATTGTAAATGGGATTGTCACGCTCTGCCTCAAACCTGAGATGGTGAAAGTTGTGAGTAATGGGGTCAGCTGGCTGCCCTACTCCACTGATCCTTTTGAGACAGACAGCCGAATGGCTCCTCTGTGAGCAAATGCGGGCTCTGGTGAAAGTTGCAACTAGTGTCCCCAAATGCTTAATATCCTGACTGCACAAATCTATATTAACAATTATTGCTGAAGAACAAAACAGGAATGATTTTCTATTTCACTGGGTATGCTGGCAACTCTTTGTGTGGTATTCTCTAATTTGATCCTGTTTCGAGATGACTGCATGGTGTTTCCTAGTGCCTTGACATCTTATTTTGTTTCTAGTAAGTAGTTAAAGCACATTATTATGTTCTGTGGACATATTTTCTCAATGTACTTCTTCCAATGTTTTGATCTGACCAAGAAATTTGACAACTTAAAACTCACTGAGAAAAACAGAATAAAATAAAACTCATGGGGTTGTTTAGAAAATGCCATTTCAATCTCAACACAAGGTACCAAGAAAAGTAAAAATGTGTTACTCACTGCGGCTGATTTCCTTTCCCCTTTAAGGAGTTTTCCAAGAATTTCATAACCATCAGTTGTTATATTTCCAGCTTCCTTGATGTCTTTTTCTATAATTTCATAGCAGTCAATGTAAGTCTTAACACTTTTTGGGGTCACCACAATATGAACCTAAAAAGATAATTTGTTTCCATTATAAAATTTCTACACTAAAAAATTAGCTGACTCTGCATAGTTCAGATCAGATTTTTTTTAAGTTTTTTAAGCTATTTTCATCCTAATTCAAAAGTCTTACTCTAAAAATCCAAGAACAGTTGGCAATGTCAATGAAATAATTCACTGATAATATGAAACTAGACAAGCCACTTAACCTCTGGTCTCAGTTTCCTACATGCACATATACATGCATAATTTCTTGTTTTCTCATTATCTACTCTTACTGAGATGACCAGAGAGGATGTAGTAGATGAAATGACTTTGTAAGCTATAAAGAGCTATTCAAATAGAGGTTAATAAATCATGTATATATTATTATATTCACTACAAGGAAATTTCAGATGTCTTCCACTAATTTTGCTAAATTCATCTTTCAGTTTGTTGTTCCCCAATCTCAGGCAGAAATAATCTGCATACCATACAGATATCTCATACAGTAAAGAAGTAGCACATGTCTTCTATAGGGATTCAACTCTGGACATCAACAGAATTAAGGATTCAATTTCCTTTTAAGGAAAGAAGTTTATATTGATTTATTTTTCGTTTGCTACTGAAGACACACAGAATGTTAAAAACTCTATTAGTATAATTAACAAAATGTTTGTATTTCAACAATGTAAAGAATGGTCCTGGGTAATCCCTGTCTGTATAGTTATGCTCAGAGTTTCTACTTATCACAGCACAAATACTCAAGTAAGCCCTTGATGATGACTTTGAAAAGTTTGGCAGCAAATTAAAAGGAACAGAAATTCCCTTAAATGTTCTCAGTCGATAAGCATAAGAATAATTTCTAAAGTATTTTTTAAACTAAATATTTTTCCCACATGGAATCAGCACCAAAACATAAGTTTACTGCATCTGTGATAAATATAAATTACATATTGCTTTTATATAAAAGTAATACACAGGTTACTAAAAATAAAGTTTAAATGCCCCCAGGACAATCAACTAATACTGAACTCAAGAAGAACACTATACTAGGATATTTTTTTATCTAATAAGAACTAAAACTTTTTGGCTCATATATGAACAACCACAGATGCAAACATTGAAAAGGCATGTGAAAAACCACAATATCCAGAAAAATTATTTCAACATTTTTAATTCATGACAAAATTATTTCAGTAACATTCATTGAATGCTAGCCATAGAGAAACACATTCTAGAAGTACATTTTGCTATAATTTATTCAGTGTGTTTTACTGCAGTTTAAATGCATTTCAGATTTGGCCCTTTACCTGTAGATCATTGTGCCAAGTATGTAGAGTAACCAACCTATTTCCTAAATGATGTGTTGTTGATCCCAGACCAGTAGAAAAAAATAGGGAGCCTCTTGTCACTCGTCTCCCTTCCCAGACTCTGCCATTCTAGTTTTCTTTCTTATTATAAATATCTCACGTGAATCCATGTCATCTTTTAACCATAGAAGGGAGACACAACAAAAGCTTTTCAAGAGAATCCCCAAGAAGGGATAACTGTCCGTCTTTCCTTAATTAAACTATTTTAGTTGATCCCTCTCCTCAAAGGTCCCTCTCCCCGTCACTGTCACTGATTTCCTGTTCTTGAAATATTGCTCATTCTCATCCCAGGTTTGAAAAACTTCAATTCAGGAATTAGATGGAAAGTGAAAGAAGAGTGCTTGAATCCTTGGCTCGGTAAAAAAATGTGAACAGCTGAGAGTGACTGAAGGTGGTACTTGAATTGATGGGATAAATGAGAGTGGGCCAATGGGGTGGGGGTATTTTATACTTGGCAATTTGCAAGATGCTAGATCTTAGATTAAATTGGTTCGGCACATACACACACACACAATGGTAAATGTAGAGGTAATAGATATGTTAATTAGCTTGATTGTGGAGATTATTTCACAATGTGTGTGTATATCAGAACACCTCATTGTACACCTTAAGTATATGCAATTTTTCTATATGACATCTCAATAAAGCTGTTTAAAAAGAAAGAATGGGGGGGGGGCGGAGCAAGATGGCCGAATAGGAACAGCTCCAGTCTCCAACTCCCAGCGCCAGCGACACAGAAGACCGGTGATTTCTGCATTTTCAACTGAGGTACTGGGTTCATCTCACTGGGAAGTGCCGGATGATCGGTGCTGGTCAGCTGCTGCAGCCCGACCAGCGAGAGCTGAAGCAGGGCGAGGCATTGCCTCACCTGGGAAGCGCAAGGGGGAAGGGAATCCCTTTTCCTAGCCAGGGGAACTGAGACACACAACACCTGGAAAATCGGGTAACTCCCACCCCAATACTGCGCTTTAAGCAAACAGGCACACCAGGAGATCATATCCCACACCTGGCCGGGAGGGTCCCACACCCACGGAGCCTCCCTCATTGCTAGCACAGCAGTCTGTGATCTACCGGCAAGGCAGCAGTGAGGCTGGGGGAGGGGCGCCCGCCATTGCTGAGGCTTAAGTAGGTAAACAAAGCTGCTGGGAAGCTCGAACTGGGTGGAGCTCACAGCAGCTCAAGGAAACCTGCCTGTCTCGGTAGACTCCACCTCTGGGAACAAGGCAATAACAAACGCAGCCGAAACCTCTGCAGACGCAAACGACTCTGTCTGACAGCTTTGAAGAGAGCAGTGGATCTCCCAACATGGAGGTGAGATCTAAGAAGGGACAGACTCCCTGCTCAAGTGGGTCCCTGACCCCTGAGTAGCCTAACTGGGAGACATCCCCCACTAGGGGCAGTCTGACATCCCACACCTCACAGGGTGGAGTACACCCTGAGAGGAAGCTTCCAAAGCAAGAATCAGACAGGTACACTCGCTGTTCAGAAATATTCTATCTTCTGCAGCCTCTGCTGCTGATACCAGGCAAACAGGGTCTGGAGTGGACCTCAAGCAATCTCCAACAGACCTACAGCTGAGGGTCCTGACTGTTAGAAGGAAAACTATCAAACAGGAAGGACACCTACACCAAAACCCCATCAGTACATCACATCATCAAAGACAGAGGCAGATAAAACCACAAAGATGGGGAAAAAGCAGGGCAGAAAAGCTGGAAATTCAAAAAATAAGAGCGCATCTCCCCCGGCAAAGGAGCGCAGCTCATCGCCAGCAACGGATCAAAGCTGGACGGAGAATGACTTTGACGAGATGAGAGAAGAAGGCTTCAGTCCATCAAATTTCTCAGAGCTAAAGGAGGAATTACGTACCCAGCGCAAAGAAACTAAAAATCTTGAAAAAAAGTGGAAGAATTGATGGCTAGAGTAATTAATGCAGAGAAGGTCATAAACGAAATGAAAGAGATGAAAACCATGACACGAGAAATACGTGACAAATGCACAAGCTTCAGTAACCGACTCGATCAACTGGAAGAAAGAGTATCTGCGATTGAGGATCAAATGAATGAAATGAAGTGAGAAGAGAAACCAAAAGAAAAAAGAAGAAAAAGAAATGAACAAAGCCTGCAAGAAGTATGGGATTATGTAAAAAGACCAAATCTACGTCTGATTGGGGTGCCTGAAAGTGAGGGGGAAAATGGAACCAAGTTGGAAAACACTCTTCAGGATATCATCCAGGAGAACTTCCCCAACCTAGTAGGGCAGGCCAACATTCAAATCCAGGAAATACAGAGAACGCCACAAAGATACTCCTCGAGAAGAGCAACTCCAAGACACATAATTCCAGATTCACCAAAGTTGAAATGAAGGAAAAAATCTTAAGGGCAGCCAGAGAGAAAGGTCGGGTTACCCACAAAGGGAAGCCCATCAGACTAACAGCAGATCTCTCGGCAGAAACTCTCCAAGCCAGAAGAGAGTGGGGGCCAATATTCAACATTCTTAAAGAAAAGAATTTTCAACCCAGAATTTCATATCCAGCCAAACTAAGTTTCATAAGTGAAGGAGAAATAAAATCCTTGACAGATAAGCAAATGCTTAGAGATTTTGTCACCACTAGGCCTGCCTTACAAGAGACCCTGAAGGAAGCACTAACATGGAAAGGAACAACCGGTACCAGCCATTGCAAAAACATGCCAAAATGTAAAGACCATCGAGGCTAGGAAGAAACTGCATCAACTAACGAGCAAAATAACCAGTTAATATCATAATGGCAGGATCAAGTTCACACATAACAATTTAACCTTAAATGTAAATGGACTAAATGCTCCAATTAAAAGACACAGACTGGCAAACTGGATAAAGAGTCAAGACCCATCAGTCTGCTGTATTCAGGAGACCCATCTCACATGCAGAGACATACATAGGCTCAAAATAAAGGGATGGAGGAAGATTTACCAAGCAAACGGAGAACAAAAAAAAGAGGGGGTTGCAATCCAGTCTCTGATAAAACAGACTTTAAACCATCAAAGATCAAAAGAGACAAAGAAGGCCATTACATAATGGTAAAGGGATCAATTCAACAGGAAGAGCTAACTATCCTAAATATATATGCACCCAATACAGGAGCACCCAGATTCATCAAGCAAGTCCTTAGAGACTTACAAAGAGACTTAGACTCCCATACAATAATAATGGGAGACTTCAACACTCCACTGTCAACATTAGACAGATCAACGAGACAGAAAGTTAACAAGGATATCCAGGAATTGAACTCATCTCTGCAGCAAGCAGACCTAATAGACATCTATAGAACTCTCCACCCCAAATCAACAGAATATACATTCTTCTCAGCACCACATCGTACTTACTCCAAAATCGACCACGTAATTGGAAGTAAAGCATTCCTCAGCAAATATACAAGAACAGAAATTATAACAAACTGTCTCTCAGACCACAGTGCAATCAAACTAGAACTCAGGACTAAGAAACTCAATCAAAACCGCTCAACTACATGGAAACTGAACAACCTGCTCCTGAATGACTACTGGGTACATCACGAAATGAAGGCAGAAATAAAGATGTTCTTTGAAACCAATGAGAACAAAGATACAACATACCAGAATCTCTGGAATACATTTAAAGCAGTGTGTAGAGGGAAATTTA